CCCAAGACCAGAGGCAAACTGAGGGGCACGTCTCTGCCGGATCGCCGCGGACGAAAATGGGAACTGCCTGTCCCCTTCTTCGTTGTCAAGGCACATAGGACCGTCGTGATTCGACGTCGTTCCAAATGGCTTTTCGGACGGCTGGGGAGAGCTAGACAACGTCTCTGGAGCAGCCCCTAGGCTACCTCTATGTTCCTGCTTGTCTGCAAACTCGGGCCCGCTGGTGGCCGAAGGCTTTAATACGTCGCTTTCGCCTGTGTAGGCACGTTAGCGCACTCACTGCCGGGGATGGGAGCTTGAGATCCATACCTGCACTAGCAACACCGCTAGATTTCTTCTTGGATGCAGCCGCGACGAGCTCGTCAAGCGACGGAAAAGACATGTCGGATCGGCCATCGTCGATATCGTTATCGGACTCGCTATCAGGAATTAGGATCGCAGTGATCTGCGACTTCCCTGCACCACTATGTCGAGAATCGTGTGCATCCTGTTGTGGCGGCGGCGGGAGGAAAGGGGCAGGGTCCCCCTTCCGAACGAGAAGCCTGTGATCCGCAGGGCCTGGGCCTGCTACCGGGGGATTGTAAAAACACTGGTTGTCAAGGCAGACTGTTGCCATCTTAATGTGCGCTGGTGAATCGCAGAAGATGTCAAAGGTTTAGGGAAGAATGGTCCTGGAAGTGTTTGGTGTGCGAGCTGGTCACCTTCGTATACCTGGGGTGTTGGGAGAACGAGCGAAATATATGTGTGCCGAGTAAGGGCTGACCCGATCGCTGAATTGGCAAGGAACTGGGCCCCGCGCCCTCCGTTCTCACCAGCCTCCCAACCCCAGCTCGCAACGAGGAACGTGCTCGACCGTGAAACGCCTCGTTCCATGCGTGACGAGATATCGATTCATCGGTTCCTCGCAACTCTACCAATCATGCAATTGCCGAGAGAGAAAGGACAGGGCCCAAGAAAAGGGAGGTGTCGCAGGACATCGTATCGCCACGAATCACGGCCCTTGCATTGAGGCCCGTGGTCCATGACGTTGCTATGGGTTGCCGAGGGCGGCTCAGCCGAAGTGGGGCGTATCGTCTCCTGCAACGCCTTCCTGCGTCCGTCTGCATGCGCTCCTTCATGTCGTCCAGTTTCTGGTACTGCCCATGGCAAGGCAGAATCTCCCCAAGCAGAGCCAGACGCGCCGTCGTTCCGGTCAACCCGCTCCTACTCAAACCCGATCTGCCTCGCCATCGGTGAGGCGGCCAGTAAGGCCACATCATCGTTCCGGCGGGTGCATCGGCCTCCTTGACTCGGCCTTGCCACTCTGTTCGCTACGGCCGGCGTGTGGCCCAGAATGTTACCTGCATCCCGCACCACAGCTACGCTGGCATTCGGTCCGATTGTTCTGCGATCCGCAAGCCGAGACGCTCTGCAACCAAGCGTGAGGAGGTCCCCTGGTGTCTCCGCATGTGTCAGGACATGCAGGTCTTGTAAATTGCACGCGGGAAGGAGGGGCGGAGAACCTGCCAGGCAGGCATGAACCTGATCCTACGGAGGAAATGAGGCACCCCGGAAAGCAGAGAGGAGGGGAATGGATGAAATGAGATGTCGCTGACGGGGTGGGTGTTGGGTGGCTCCAGAGGGAGAGGAAGCTCGATGTCGAGACCAGAGTTGAGCCGAACCGCCCTCCTGTTTCTCTCCGGAACTCGTCCCCATTGGACCGCGTCAAGGGCTCGTTGTCAGCTCGGCCTTTCTATCCCCGTCCGCCGCAGGCTGAATCACGGCGTGTGACCCAGAAACAGATCACAGTCAATTAAAACGTGAACATGCCGTTCTCGTAACCATTCTCTTGCAGGCTCCACCGTAGCTGCGCCGACATTCGGTCCGAATACGAGATTATCTAGGAGACGTCTTCGCACCTAGCGAATTGGGAATGTCTCCATCTGCAGGTCAGTGTCTCTGTATCGGACGCAGTCGACATCTGCGGCATTTTTGTGACTGGTCAGAATCAGCATGCATTGTAAACCGCTCTTACAGGGGACCTACCAGGCAGACGCGACGTTGCCCGCCACGGACAAAGGGAGGCATCCTGGATGGCAGAGAGCAGGCGGATTTCGATCGCTTAGTGTAGATGAAGCTCAGAGTCGAGTTAAAATTTTAGAATGAGTCGAGTGAAAGCCGTAGTGAGAATGAGCCAGAACGCAAGCGGTAAGGAGAAGAGCTCCGGAGAAATAGCTGCCAAACAGCGCAAGTACTGCGCGAGAGGCGATATGCGAGGCTCTGAGGCGCCGGAAAGCGGGGAAGGGAAAGGGTGGTAGGTAGGGAAACGCGGCCGCCTTGGCGAAATGAGCGATCAGAGAGGCATTGGCGATGAGCGCATTGTCAGGAGGCAGGGGCCGAGTGAAGGAAAAGGGAGAGGGATGAAGGAAGAAGTCGAGAGTACAACAAAGCGACGTCAGAGAGGATCGGCTCGTATTTATGTTGCGGGCGCAGCCGGGCCGTGCGAGCACGCGAGTCTGACGTAGCGCTATACCCGATCGGGAGGGGCGCCAAACCCGGCGGGTGCGACAGCGTGTTCTGCATTACAACTTTTATATGCTAGTTAGTTAACGTACTTGCATAACGAGTGGCGCAGCATAACGAGTGGCGCACTTTTCTTGCGCCTGAATTGCTTTATATAAGTCAATTCAACCACAACACCTCTAGTTAATTGAAACTACTCAGAG